TCACCCTGGGCCCCTCTTTAAAGATGCCTAAGGCTTGGAGTGAGGGTTAGTGCAAAAAGAAAACTCTTTCCTATATAGATTGGGTTTGCCATTGAGTTCTTGTTGGTTGACCTGAGCTGAACAAGACATACATTATTATTATTATTAAATTCTAAAAAGGTTTAGACAAGATTTTTCAATTTATTTATTACATTGAAAATGTCGCTATAGCTGTAGCTTTATCTCCCACAATGCATTGTACATTTCCCTGTAATATGCCCAGTAATTGAGGCATTCTCGCATGAATAACTCTAATGCATGTACTCATAATTTGAGAAGTGAATACATCGTTCACAACGTGGATATTGTTTTTACTTTTAGTCGGTCGATTAAAAATAACGTTTTCGAGAAATAAATAATGTCTTGAATAACTATTGAATGCGAAACCAAACAAACAGTTTACTATACACGACACTTGCCATGTCGAAATATTGACATCTATGATATGAATTCCGTTTATTTTTGCAGGTCCACAGTGGTGTGCCCAGTCATTAATCAAATAGACGATCGGTCGTTTGCCTTTGTTAACGCCACAGAAGTTAGTCATATCGGTGGATTTGATTGGAATATTATTTTTAATTGGTACAACATTCCACAGTCAGAAAAAGATCGAATCGGCGGGGACAAGTCAGAACCTGTCAGGTGAGGCTGATTCGACGGCGAAGGAATAATATTCGACTTATGTCAGACTTTACGAACATATTTCGAAATTATGTGGTTGGTTCATGATACTTGTATAGCAAATCTTTTTCTGTGGTTTTCGCATATGGTAATACAGTATATTGTTGATTTAAAGTGGCCTAGAAAACTAAAGAAAACGTAACTATACAGAGCTGGAAGTTCAAAGGTCAAACATCAGCACTTTGAAGCAGTACTCTGTAACCAATGAGTAATATAACAATGTCACGTGACGGTAGTGACGTCAGTCAGTGTTATCTCGAATACTGCTGACTTGGAGTAGGGGAAGAGGAAGGCTTAAAATAGATGTTTATGAATTCGTAGTGCGATAATTGCCATAGAAACCATGACGGCGACTGATTTTTCCTCCATATGTGATATATGTTGATGACTTCACTGCTGATACATTTAGTAACACGTAGCAATGCATTTTTCTTATACCACACAAACCACACAAAACATGTTTATAATAATAATCCAATATTTCAACCCTCATCCAGATCTCCCACCATGGCAGGCGGTCTCTTCAGCATTGACAAAAGCTACTTTGAGGAGTTGGGATCCTACGATCCTGAGTTCGAATTCTGGGGAGGAGAAAACATCGAGCTTTCACTGAAGGTAAATCACGTGATTATCAGCTTTAATTTTGACAACGAAAATCTATTGGGGCGTTTTCATTTGTATTTCTGCTCACAATAACGCCAGTCACGTCAAAGCTGCTGGCAACAATATCATATATAAATACATATAAATATAATTTTAATTAATTAACCACAATTTCGAAAGCAGCATTTTATAATTGACTGGTGTAACGTCACACACACATCCTGTGTGTACAGGTTGCCATGGTGATAAGAACAGGTGTTTTAACCGTGGTTTCATTCACGAATTTCGGCACATAGCTGCATTTGTTAATTGCAGACTCCAAGACTTTCAGAATATTACCAGCTCAATGTAGAACAAACAGTTATCCAACCAACAATAGTTTCACGTATTTGACCCATGATACAGTTCATCGTTCGCTTTGCGCCCTCGGCTCTTTGGCTGGCACGCCGATCTTTTACAAGTAATCAGCGAATATACATCAGTGCTTGCTGCGCTTTGTGGGAAAAATCCGCTCCACACTTATTTTCAAAACTTAATTAAGGATCAAACTTCAGTAGGCGTTAAGGACACTTTGTTTACATCAGTCTAACTTACATATTATTTCACTTTACAGATTTGGATGTGCGGCGGCATTTTGGAATTTGTGCCCTGCTCCCACGTAGGTCACGTGTTCAGGAAACACAACCCACACAAATACAAGAATACGACGTACAACGTAGTAGGTCGAAACAACCGACGACTCGCCGAGGTATGGCTGGACGAGTACAAATACCTGTTTTATGCAAACCAGCCAGAAACTATGAAAATTGACCCCGGCGACATCAGCCAGAGAGTACAACTGAGAAAAAACCTGCAGTGTAAATCGTTTCGCTGGTTTCTTCAGAATATTTACCCAGATTCACATTATAACTTTGCGTTTGTTGGTGTGGGTCAGGTGAGTTATTGTGTTCCAATTGTTGGTTCCAATATTTGCTGTGTTAAAAATTAAGAAGGGGGTGTGCGTGTTTTTGATTCCACGTTCATTTCATTTGCTCTCGTTCTGAAATTTGTTTCAAAGTATAAATAAACTAACGCACTTTTGGTTTTGCTATTTTTTTCTAGTTGAAAAATGTGGCGAGTGGCGCTTGTTTGGATTTCGGTAAAGCTGCCGGGCATGGCGGTAAAGAGTTTAAAGGGAAGGACGCCACTAACGTTACAAGCAATACAGTCGAGCTGTGGCCATGCCACGACGGCAAGATACAGGTAGGAAGGATTGCAACACTTAATCGTTTATAAAACAAATAGGAAGAATTGAAGTGGACGGGTATGTGACGTCACATACTCATACAAGGCATCTGCGTCGGCTGTCTACATGAACCACTTATTACCGTAGATCAAAGAAAGCCGTTTCTTAAAAATCCAGAAAATAACCATAACAATGAAGCCTGGTTTAATTTCACATTTTTTGAATCTCTAATCACCTGAACACGTTAATATTTTGCATTTCTTGCAGCTATTTATTCGAACTGATAAGAAGGAATTCCGTTACATTCACATGTGTCTCGACTACAATGTCCAGTTTTCATTTCCATTTCTCTACGAATGTCACGGCCAGGGAGCCAATCAGCAGTGGATCCATGACCTAAAGGTTAGTCACGTGACATACATACGTATCGTGCCGGCCGTCTACCATACTAGTAATATATAACTTATATCATATTAAAACGCAATGTTTGTGCCATAGATTGCACGACGTCATTTGCAAAATAATGATGGCCGTTTTTGTCATGATGCAAAACACTTAGATATCCCAAAGGCATTGCTACATCCTTCGTTCAACATCAGCTAGATGATTTATCGGATGTAATCAATATATTTTCTTTTAGACACAAGCTTTGCACCACTCGTCAAGTCGGCTGTGCATGGACCTCCCTGTGCCTGGTAGCATGGTACCGACGATGAAGGAATGCAGTGGAGCGCCCTCACAGCAATGGGAATTCGCTATTCGATACCCTGGTAACATTTCGCCCGACGAAGTATCGTAATCGAAGTTCCAGACCAGAACTAGCGGATTATAACAAACTTTAAATAGTACGCAATGCCGATATATTAACTGTTAAACCCAAAGCTATGCAATACAGACGGCGACAATGTGTATATATGTATAGTTTTGATAAAAACTGTTTTTGCTACTTGAAGGACCCGGATGTTGACTGATATATTCATCGGATCGCAACTTGAAACGAGGACAACATACAAATACAGTACTCATCGTTCCCTTTATTTTGAGTGGCAGGTGGATTTTTCATCAATATTTCATTTAAATCATTTTTACCACATTTTAAAGAAAAGCTGTCAAAAAGTAGTGATTTGGATAAAATTTAAATTTCGTTTTGTTTTCAGGATTTTCAATAAACTAAATTTCATTTAATTTATATAAAAAAAATAGTTTTCCTTTCAACAGAAGAAATCATCTGAAAGAAAGTAATAATATTGTATTCAATTCTGGCCCTTTTGTTGCAGTTACACTCGTTTTTACCTGCTGTTACATTTTACTTGTTACATTTTAAAAAAATAAATTAAAAATCAAGAGTGGCGTATCATTTATACCTAGACTTGTGTTCACCCTTTTCGACTCCAGAGGACATACTTCGTCATGTAGCGAGGCCTTAAACCATTTGCAGGTAAAGATAACAATTGTACACCTGTCAAATGAACCCCCCCCCCCCCCCCCCCCCCCGTGCACTGAAATAAGAAAAACAGCAAACTTGTCAAGAGCACGGTCATGCGTGAATTCAGGAGCATCTAACGAGACTTGAGTGAACTTAATATTTTTGTTGGATTAGTATGTATATAAATAAATAAAAAAAATATTTACGATCAAATTGAATGGAAAGAATCTCAAGTGATTACTAAATTATAACCCTGTTGCTATGGTTGTATGATGAAATTATCTCCATCGCTTATCACGAGGTATCCAACTCCCGTTTGCAACAACAAGATTTCCACGTTTTGCCTGATGATTTGTGAAACTCTGGTTTGTCGATGCTTGTTTACGGTTTTGCAGATCAATAAACTGGAATTATGGTACCCTGTGTGACAAAATGGATAACTCTGTTAATATGTTGTTTTGTCGTTCGTCTGTTAGAATAAAGCAAATCTATATTATTTTTGACTGACAACCACAAACTATCGACGCTGGTAACCGTGTCTCCCCTATCTACATCACAGAATAGCGAGTGAGTTCACGCCAACTTGTCAGGCTAGAGCTGCCTGGATGATTCAGTGAAAATAAAATCCAGTGAATATAACTTAATTAATATTCAACTCATCAAAATTCATTGAAAATAAACTCAATACAAAACAAACAAATTATCACGGTCTTCTCGGTGAAAAATAATTTCAGGTAAAATAAAGTATTTTACAGTAATTACAAGTCCGTTGCTATATAGTAAATTGGAAACTGATGCTAGCAAGTCGAATAATTTCCAGACTGATTCAGAAAAAGTCCAAAATAATTTGTATGCGGCATGTGACACTATACTGGAAATATAAATGAAATTATCAATTACATTTTGAAATTCATGGAAGTCTTTCGAAAATGGTGGTACTTTGTGAATTGGCTGCGATATATATATATATATATATTTTAAAAAAATGGACCCACTGACCGAATTTCACATACAGGGGTACTCTATCAAAGGGGGGGGGGCGTAAAACATGACACGATTCTCGTGCGACGTATAAAAACTGAATTCGAATGCGTTCAGTATGACGAAATGACCATGAATGTGACACTAATAGCCACAGCACGGCGCGCCCCTTGAATCGAATGCGTTCAGTATGACGAAATGACCATGAATGTGACACTAATAGCCACAGCACGGCGCGCCCCTTGAATCGAATGCGTTCAGTATGACGAAATGACCATGAATGTGACACTAATAGACACAGCACGGCGCGCCCCTTGAATTCGAATGCGTTCAGTATGACGAAATGACCGTGAATGTGACACTAATAGACACAGCACGGCGCGCCCCTTGAATTCGAATGCGTTCAGTATGACGAAATGACCATGAATGTGACACTAATAGACACAGCACGGCGCGCCCCTTGAATTCGAATGCGTTCAGTATGACGAAATGACCGTGAATGTGACACTAATAGACACAGCACGGCGCGCCCCTTGAATTCGAATGCGTTCAGTATGACGAAATGACCGTGAATGTGACACTAATAGACACAGCACGGCGCGCCCCTTGAATTCGAATGCGTTCAGTATGACGAAATGACCATGAATGTGACACTAATAGACACAGCACGGCGCGCCCCTTGAATCGAATGCGTTCAGTATGACGAAATGACCATGAATGTGACACTAATAGACACAGCACGGCGCGCCCCTTGAATTCGAATGCGTTCAGTATGACGAAATGACCGTGAATGTGACACTAATAGACACAGCACGGCGCGCCCCTTGAATTCGAATGCGTTCAGTATGACGAAATGACCATGAATGTGACACTAATAGACACAGCACGGCGCGCCCCTTGAATCGAATGCGTTCAGTATGACGAAATGACCATGAATGTGACACTAATAGACACAGCACGGCGCGCCCCTTGAATTCGAATGCGTTCAGTATGACGAAATGACCGTGAATGTGACACTAATAGACACAGCACGGCGCGCCCCTTGAATTCGAATGCGTTCAGTATGACGAAATGACCATGAATGTGACACTAATAGACACAGCACGGCGCGCCCCTTGAATTCGAATGCGTTCAGTATGACGAAATGACCGTGAATGTGACACTAATAGACACAGCACGGCGCGCCCCTTGAATTCGAATGCGTTCAGTATGACGAAATGACCGTGAATGTGACACTAATAGACACAGCACGGCGCGCCCCTTGAATTCGAATGCGTTCAGTATGACGAAATGACCATGAATGTGACACTAATAGACACAGCACGGCGCGCCCCTTGAATTCGAATGCGTTCAGTATGACGAAATGACCATGAATGTGACACTAATAGACACAGCACGGCGCGCCCCTTGAATTCGAATGCGTTCAGTATGACGAAATGACCGTGAATGTGACACTAATAGACACAGCACGGCGCGCCCCTTGAATTCGAATGCGTTCAGTATGACGAAATGACCATGAATGTGACACTAATAGACACAGCACGGCGCGCCCCTTGAATTCGAATGCGTTCAGTATGACGAAATGACCATGAATGTGACACTAATAGACACAGCACGGCGCGCCCCTTGAATTCGAATGCGTTCAGTATGACGAAATGACCGTGAATGTGACACTAATAGACACAGCACGGCGCGCCCCTTGAATTCGAATGCGTTCAGTATGACGAAATGACCATGAATGTGACACTAATAGACACAGCACGGCGCGCCCCTTGAATTCGAATGCGTTCAGTATGACGAAATGACCATGAATGTGACACTAATAGACACAGCACGGCGCGCCCCTTGAATTCGAATGCGTTCAGTATGACGAAATGACCATGAATGTGACACTAATAGACACAGCACGGCGCGCCCCTTGAATTCGAATGCGTTCAGTATGACGAAATGACCATGAATGTGACACTAATAGACACAGCACGGCGCGCCCCTTGAATTCGAATGCGTTCAGTATGACGAAATGACCATGAATGTGACACTAATAGACACAGCACGGCGCGCCCCTTGAATTCGAATGCGTTCAGTATGACGAAATGACCATGAATGTGACACTAATAGACACAGCACGGCGCGCCCCTTGAATTCGAATGCGTTCAGTATGACGAAATGACCATGAATGTGACACTAATAGACACAGCACGGCGCGCCCCTTGAATTCGAATGCGTTCAGTATGACGAAATGACCATGAATGTGACACTAATAGACACAGCACGGCGCGCCCCTTGAATTCGAATGCGTTCAGTATGACGAAATGACCATGAATGTGACACTAATAGACACAGCACGGCGCGCCCCTTGAATTCGAATGCGTTCAGTATGACGAAATGACCATGAATGTGACACTAATAGACACAGCACGGCGCGCCCCTTGAATTCGAATGCGTTCAGTATGACGAAATGACCATGAATGTGACACTAATAGACACAGCACGGCGCGCCCCTTGAATTCGATGCGTTCAGTATGACGAAATGACCATGAATGTGACACTAATAGACACAGCACGGCGCGCCCCTTGAATTCGAATGCGTTCAGTATGACGAAATGACCATGAATGTGACACTAATAGACACAGCACGGCGCGCCCCTTGAATTCGAATGCGTTCAGTATGACGAAATGACCATGAATGTGACACTAATAGACACAGCACGGCGCGCCCCTTGAATCGAATGCGTTCAGTATGACGAAATGACCATGAATGTGACACTAATAGACACAGCACGGCGCGCCCCTTGAATCGAATGCGTTCAGTATGACGAAATGACCATGAATGTGACACTAATAGACACAGCACGGCGCGCCCCTTGAATCGAATGCGTTCAGTATGACGAAATGACCATGAATGTGACACTAATAGACACAGCACGGCGCGCCCCTTGAATCGAATGCGTTCAGTATGACGAAATGACCGTGAATGTGACACTAATAGACACAGCACGGCGCGCCCCTTGAATCGAATGCGTTCAGTATGACGAAATGACCGTGAATGTGACACTAATAGACACAGCACGGCGCGCCCCTTGAATCGAATGCGTTCAGTATGACGAAATGACCATGAATGTGACACTAATAGACACAGCACGGCGCGCCCCTTGAATCGAATGCGTTCAGTATGACGAAATGACCATGAATGTGACACTAATAGACACAGCACGGCGCGCCCCTTGAATCGAATGCGTTCAGTATGACGAAATGACCGTGAATGTGACACTAATAGACACAGCACGGCGCGCCCCTTGAATCAAATGCGTTCAGTATGACGAAATGACCATGAATGTGACACTAATAGACACAGCACGGCGCGCCCCTTGAATCGAATGCGTTCAGTATGACGAAATGACCGTGAATGTGACACTAATAGACACAGCACGGCGCGCCCCTTGAATCGAATGCGTTCAGTATGACGAAATGACCATGAATGTGACACCAATAGACACAGCACGGCGCGCCCCTTGAATCGAATGCGTTCAGTATGACGAAATGACCATGAATGTGACACTAATAGACACAGCACGGCGCGCCCCTTGAATTCGAATGCGTTCAGTATGACGAAATGACCATGAATGTGACACTAATAGACACAGCACGGCGCGCCCCTTGAATTCGAATGCGTTCAGTATGACGAAATGACCATGAATGTGACACTAATAGACACAGCACGGCGCGCCCCTTGAATTCGAATGCGTTCAGTATGACGAAATGACCATGAATGTGACACTAATAGACACAGCACGGCGCGCCCCTTGAATTCGAATGCGTTCAGTATGACGAAATGACCATGAATGTGACACTAATAGACACAGCACGGCGCGCCCCTTGAATTCGAATGCGTTCAGTATGACGAAATGACCATGAATGTGACACTAATAGACACAGCACGGCGCGCCCCTTGAATTCGAATGCGTTCAGTATGACGAAATGACCATGAATGTGACACTAATAGACACAGCACGGCGCGCCCCTTGAATTCGAATGCGTTCAGTATGACGAAATGACCATGAATGTGACACTAATAGACACAGCACGGCGCGCCCCTTGAATTCGAATGCGTTCAGTATGACGAAATGACCATGAATGTGACACTAATAGACACAGCA